CCCCAGTTGGCACCGGGGAAAATCCTCCCTGCTGCAGACAATGGAGCAGCGCCTCTTGCTGCAGGAAAAACAGCAGGAGCAGGAGACTGAGAGCATCCGGGATCTGCAAGTCAGACTCAAGTTCCTCAAGGGAGAGAAAGAGTTCCTTCAAAAGGAACTGAAGGAAAAACAGCAGGAGTGGGCGACAGCAGAGTGCTCTATGAAGGGCCAGCTAGAAGAGCAGTGCCGCTTGCTGCAGGAAAAACAGCAGGAGCGGGAGACTGAGAGCATCCAGGATCTGCAAGTCAGACTCAAGTTCCTCAAGGGAGAGAAAGAGTCCCTTCAAAAGGAACTGGAAGCAAAGACGTTAGCTGCCAGAAGCGCCCGGGCCTCCCAGCGAGCCCAGCTGGAGAAACACAGAGCGGAGACCAAAAGGATTGGCGCTATCCTCAGAAAGGCAGAAGCTCTGGAGACGAAGCACAGCCGCTTGCTGGAAGGGAAGAAATCCCTGGTGGAGGAAATGGAAAAATCCAGAGCCTCCTATGAGGCTGAGATTAGCAGTTTAAAACAGGAGAATAATCAGCTGGCGGCTGCTGTGAAGGATGCAGAGAGGCAGATGAGGACTAAACATCTCCAGTGGCTCAATGAGAAACTTTCCCTCCTGGAGAAACTAGAAAGATCCCAGAACAGCATTCACAACTTGCAACTGAAATTCCAGGAAGAAAAAGAGGCCCTTCAAATTGTGGAAAAACAGCACCACTGCTTGCTGCAGCAAAAACAGCAGGAGTGGGAGTCAACAGAGTGCTGTTTGAAGGGCGAGCTGGAAGAGCACCACTGCTTGCTGCAGGAAAAACTGCTTGCTGCAGCAAAGAGTCAACAGAGTGCTGTTTGAAGGGCGAGCTGGAAGAGATGAAGGGCAAGCTGGAAGAGATCAAGAACCAGCTTTCTCAAAAGACAAAGAAGAAGAAGTGGTACAGAAGATTAATCTAATCTAACCCTGAGCTGGCCTACAATTCCATGATCAGCAAGATAAAATGAAATCAGATAAATTTGTACTTGTACACTAAAAGTAAATGGGCAGCACGGTGGCGCAGTGGTTAGCACTGTTGCCTCACAGCAAGAAGGTTCAGGGTTCGGGGCCTTTCTGTGCGGAGTGTGCATGTTCTCCCCTGTGCTTGCGTGGGTTCTCTCCAGGTGCTCTGGCTTCATCCCACAGTCCAAAGACATGCAGGTTAGGTTGATTGGCCAGTCTAAATTGCCCACATTAGTGAATATATTTTGACCGTCACTAACTTTAGACCACTGGGTCTAAAGTAAGAGAGTGAAAGTCAGAGCCCCTTTAAAACATGAAATTAGCTCAACCTACCATTTGAAACTTGATTACTTCTTTGGTGCTGACCTGAAATTGCAAGAAAAGAAAATTCAGCATTAACAACTTGTGCAGAAGAGCAGAGGTTATAAAGATCAGAAATTAAAACAATGGAAACCCTGTGAGCTCACCACTGTGCTGATTTTTCTCTTGCCATCAGAAGCTCTGAAAAGACATTTGTTATCTGCTGGTTCAAATGACTCCGAGTGGCCCTTTCTGGGCACCGGCTTGGTCCTTCCATCATCTGGGTTCCATCACCATTCAGTTGACCGGACTTGGACTACGTTCACACTGCAGGTCTTAATGCTCAGATTGGATTTTTTTTGCCGAAATCCGCTTTTTTTGCGCTGTTCACACTGTCATTTAAATGCGACTGCCATCTGTCTCAGTCGCATTGAGAACATCGCTGGTTTGAGAGAGGAGTTAAGGAAGATATTTTTGTCAAAATAGAACAACCCTCACTGGTTTATTTATTTAACCTTGATTATTATCTTCACTGTAGACTGACATTATTTGGAAAAGTAACATTTCAATGTCACCATGTTTTTTTCCATCTATATTTCAATATAAATTCATATTTACAAAGTGTCTTCTGCATTGGTGCAGTTCTGAGCTTCCTGTCCACTAGGGTCTGGTTTATTTAACACCAATCATCTGAGCAAATCTGGGGCCCTCTGGTAAAGAAAATCAGATTTTTAAAACCCTCCCACCTATTTCTACCGAATAATCAAAACATGTGCATTGTTATTAAAAGGTTCTAGTTTAGAGTCTAGCCTCTGAATAGCTTGACATTAAAGACCTGCTATGAATCAAATCTCAGCCTCTCCTGACACTCCCTGCACCTGGAAAGAGAAAATGGCTCAACTTAGATTCTTCATAAAGGTATTGACACACTGTACTTGCATCCCTTGTTAGCACAAACAAAGCTGTGACACTGCATTAATCCTAGCAGTCTTCTATGACACCTCGTTGACCTAATCCAAAGTCTAAACTTGGCTTAACTGTTGACACTGCTTCAGAGAGAAAGGGGCAGGGTGAGCTGGAGCAAACATTACTGCAATCAAGTGTCACATATGCTTGAAAAGAATCGACCACATATCAAATCATCCAATTCTCTCAAACATTTCTCAAACAGTTACCAGAACAACTGCGGTGGCTGATCTCACCTGATGCAGCAGTTCAGGATGCAGCTGTTACAGTCCCTGTCATCTCTGTACACCCCAGACTGTGGCAGATCGTTACACAATGACAGAAATGTTTGCAGTTCTGACGAAAAATGTTAGTGACAAAACTTAATCATGCCTCTTTATAAATTTTTAAGCCTGTTTTACAAAAGAAACATTACTAATGTTTCCAAACTACTGAAAATAAAAGTGAGCAGTAATACCATGAAATTTACCTTGATGGTGTCATAGGTGTCAGTGATGAGGGTGATGAAAAGGTTGAGAATCATGTAGATGAAGAGCGAGACGAAGGTGTAAAGGTAAACTCTGCTGAAAAGCCACACCAGGTAGCTCTTCTTCTTCATGTTTTCAAAGGTGGAAAACATATCATCTCCATTGATCAATGAGAACAGACACTCTGACACTGTGTTCAAGGTCCGGAACTGAAAAAGAAAAGGTTAGTTCAGAGATGCGATCATTTTTCATTTCATCATGATTATTGAGTCCTGAAATGTTATGAATAGAGTTTAAATGTTGTCCTGTATCATGTAAACACTCCTTACCTTCTCATGATAGGGACCGAGAACTATCCACCCGCAAAAACAGTAACTCAGGTAGATAATTCCAGCACAGCAGATGAAACGGATAACATTTGGGCGAGCTGCCCTGAGTGTCAGAATAAGAATCTGAAAATAGCCACAGAACAGACAGTAATGGATCAGAAAAATCTACACAAGACCTTACACTAAAGAATACATTCTCTTTGAGAATATCTGAGTCCAGCAATTAATATTTTCCTGTAATTAGATGCAATCATTACAAATTAGCCTTTGAATAAAGCATGTGATGCCAAAGCAGAATCCTGCACTGCTTCATAAGAGTAGAAATGATTTTACAGCCTGTTAGGGCTGAAATACACCAAGCTGTCATAAAAGAACTAGCAGTGATGTAGTCCAACTGTTGCATTGCTTCACATTGTCTGGGCCAGTGGGGTCGAAAAAGTGGCACTTGAACACGGTGCACAGACTACAACCAATGGCCAACTAGCAAGTACATTCTGCATCTGCATAACAGAAATAACTCCCCCTACCAGCAGCTGGCAGTATCTGTATTTTCAACTCAGACAGGGAAAGAAAAAGAGCTAGACTGAGGAAATACAAGCTATAAAGAAAACAACTCTTGTTCAACACAGCTGCTGTTGATTGCTGATTCTAATAGAGAAAATATATCTGATATAAAGTTTCAAATGGCTACGCTGTTCTCGGCCCTTGGTCTTTTGGTTGGAAGAAGAAAGGAAGCCGCCAGGAGAAACTGCACTAAATGTGTGAAATCATGGATTTCTACAGCAACAGGCTGAAGGGCCTTCCCCAACGCCTGATTCGCTAAGCTGAACAGCCAATCAAGAGTGGTCTTTCTCGCCAATGAGGTCTGAATGGGTCGAAAAGCTGCAAACAGGGTCTGACTAGTGCCAAAGGTGCAGGACACACCGGGAAGACAAGCCATGACAGATGCTCACCGAGGGTGTGGTGCGTCACAGGCCTTAGCCCATACCCTGTTTGTGCCAGTTCAAGAGTAGATGCATGTATTCAAATATTAGTACCGTTCCCTTTTCAGAGCTTCAGATTCAGTTTTCCAAAACTTCAACAGCTGGACAGAGATTTAGCTGGTATGGGAATGCTGTAGTTTAAAATTACACTATATGTAACACCAATGTTCTGTATTCTGTGCATGACCTGGACTTACATTATACTTCCTAAAGTAGCCTAAGTAGCGGATGACCCCAATCCAGACCAACATGGTGCCTGTGCCAAGGAGGATGCTGCAAACATCATAACTTCTGAGAACCTAAAAGACAAGCATGGGCCATTTTAAAAGGTTATGAATGGACTGAAGCAAAACCTTGACATGCATGCTGCATGTTAATATTCTAAGTTATTCATTAAGTTAAAAGTAATGACAGATATTGCAACTTTATCTGACACAAACATGGATCAACATCTGATAAAATGGCCTTTACCTTAGAATGGATCTCTATCTTCAGAATGGAGCCAATGATGGTCAATATGTCACTGACAATGATCAGGATATACCAACCGCTCACAAACTCCAGCTTGTCTGACCATGGGACGTGTTTACCACAGTGGTTCCGGTAGTAGAGTGTGTACTCCTGTTAATAACAGAAAGAAACAGGTTGTACAAGTGTCTTTGGGGTAACAATTGTTTTTAATTAAGTTTAACATATCAAATCGGGACATAAAGAGAGACCCACACAACAAGAAAAGAAAGATTACAGAATATGAAACCTCTTTCAGTGTTTGTATGGGCACCTGACATGTGCCATACCCTTTAAGTGAAGAACTAAATCTATGAGCATGGAATGTTTTGAATAAAGCTGTTATTACAAAGATGTGACTTCTATCTTTTAATATTTATTTTAAGGGAGTGGAGTGCCATTGAGTTTCCTCCACTTTATGAATACCATGGACAAATACATATCAGGTGGTCATAACTTAGATCTGAGCAAATACATGACTATGTGCGATAAAAGTACTTGTATTTCTGGATGAGATCATTTTACTCACAAACTGCAGCTGAATCCCACTGATCACCGAGCGTGTGCAGAGCACGAAGGAGGCGAGGCACGTTACAATGATGAGGCAGTCAAACAGCACAGTCAAGTATGTGTTTTGAGCAGCTCAGGGAACAGAGAAATTAAAATTACTCCATCTGAAAACGAGCATTTTCTGCAGTCTCAAGCTTTGAAAACAGCCACAATAATCCATTCACAGCTTTAAAACAATACAGATGATTCCTGTGTGTGCACTAAAATCAAGTCAGCAAACTTACATTCTCCAATTAATCTCCATTCTTTGCATTCATTGATGTCTATCTACATCGTTTTCCAAGTCAACCTTTATCCTGCCACTGTGAACTTGGTTGTTGAAAGTGATCTGTTTGACAGAGAGCTAGATTTGAGGGCAGACAATTCTCATAAAAGGTCAATATACTGCACATATTGCCAAACATTTACTTGCCAGACCCTCAAGGTAAGATTTAAATACATAAACAGCAGGCAGTGTATGCAAACACTTTCAGACTGCTCAGATTTATGTGCTCAAAGCAGTTTCAGGTGATCAGATGTGTCATATCACTGCTAGTAAAAGAGATGTGGTGACGTACAGTAACAGTAAAATCGTAGCAGTATGGCAGCTCTCGATGTCTCACTGTCTCTAAATTTATGGCCTTGAGAACAAACATGATCTTGACAGAGATCATCCTGGAAGCAAAGAGAATGTACATGAATGGTTTCTCAAAAAATGAGAGGAAATTAAGAAAGAAAAAAAAAAAAAGATAGTTGAATGTTATGCACAAACCTTTTGAAATGCAATTCAAAATGTGGAAGCACGACTCGCAGTGACCCATGATACATTGGATAAACTTTAAAGCACTCTGATGCGAGTAAACAAGAAGAAACAGACAATGTAAAACCAATAATGTACAATGTTCTGCTAATGACGTGCAGACATACCAGTCTCCACCTGGGTGTCAATTTCAAAGGTCTCATTTCCAGAGTAGATACTTCCATTCCTGTAGAACTCCTGACATAGTGACAGGGGTGTGTAGACAACACCATTCCTCTCATATTCATGATTTCCAACTGTGATATTGTGCAAATGTCCATACTAGAAATGAACAATTGAAACCATTGTTATAATATGATCAAGTAACCAAGAACAGCAGAAACTTTATAAAAAGAGTATCTGCAGCAGCTCAGGTTGTTTAGATAAATGGTTTTATGACACATCTGTGCAACATGACTAAATGACTGATTCAGATGGCATGAAATATTTCCAGTCACATGACAAGATGAAGCTTATGATGAGAGCTCGTCAGGCTTTTTGGCCTCATAAACATGTATAGTTATAAAATTCCAATACAGAATTACAGTAGCACTAAAGCAAAACAACAAGATCAATCATGTCATAAGACCAAGACAGATTCCAGGAATACAAAAAAAAAACAACAACTTGTATTTCTTGCAAAAATTAGGAAATAAGAAGATGCTAATATTCAGTTACCACCTGTTCAATGATAATAATGGCAATTTTGATGATCTGCAGAGCGAGTTTGAATGGTTTTCGCCTACGTGCATGATACTTCTCACAGGGGTTCATAAAGTACAGTGGTGTGAAAAAGTGTTTGCCCCCTTACTGATTTCTTATCTTTTTGCATGTTTGTCACACTGTAATGTTTCAGATCGTCAAACAAATTTATATATTAGTCAAAGATAACACAAGTAAACACATCATGCAGTTTTTAAATGAAGGTTTTTATTATTAAGGGAAAACAAAATCCAAAACTATAGAGCCCTGTGTGAACAAGTGTTTGCCCCCCTGTCAAAACACTGGTTTATCGCACCTGAGTTCAATTTCT